GTGTTGTATTGTTTCATAGTATTTGTTAAAAATGTTAGCAACAGCCACACAGTCTGAGATAGTGTTACCATTAGACTTGAGAGTGTAAGATTTAATTGATGCAGAGGGTTTGATGTTAATAATTTCTTTTATTCTTTTCCATGTATTTTTGTATTGTTGAGGTTTTTGTTAAAAAAGGAGATGTAGTATGACTTTTTGGAAATTCTGAATAAATTGCTAATTTTATTCTTGTACAATTTAAATTTATCGAATAGTTGACTTTTTGCGTTGGAATTTTTAGATTTTATATACTTTTTGTAGAGCTTACTTTTAATTGCAATTTCAGAACTCCATTAGTGATCCAAGACTTCAGAACTTCATTAGTGATCCAAGACTTCAGAACTCCATTAGTGATCCAAGGGTTAGATGTGAGTTTAACTTGGTTTTTGGTCAGTTTTTTGTAACTATAATCCAGAGAAAATTTCAAATCAATTAACAATAGTATTGAGAGAACTCGTATTAATTGATGTTTTTATATTTTTAATATGAAACTTTAAGTTCCATCATAAAGTTGTATTTTTTCATTTAGTTAAACTTTTATATATAATTGATGATCTATTTTGTAAATAATTAATTTACATTATATTGATCACTCTAAAAAAACGTACAAGAGGCTTTGTATCTCTATTTGGTACAAAAAAACTTGCAACAAATAAGGTTTGTTTACGGTTTTTTAGATAGCAAATGAACCATTTTAAATTTTTATTTTGCATACCATAATTATGAAGTTTGTATAGAAGGATTTCGTGATTCACTGTATCGAAAGACTTTGAAAGGTCGATAGATACTCCAAGAGTGTGTTTGTTTTTGTCAAAGCCACGTAAAATTTCGTTAACTAATTTTATTACAGCATGTTCAGTTGAGTTTTAAAACCGTATTGGTCATTGTAGAGGATGTTATGATTTTGAAGGTATGTAAAGAGTCTATTATACATTATGCGCTACAATATTTTTGAAAAGCACGGGAGTATGGAGATGGGTCTATAGTTGGATAAAGTCGAGTCATCTCGACTCTATCTAACTATATAAATATAAATATTTATACATATATGCATGTATGTGTGTTTCTATAAGCTGATACAAATGTAGTATGTACAGGCCTACTCAAATGTTTATAAATACCTATCTACTGAAATAAACACCTATCTATTTATAAAAACCTAATGAGGTTTCTTTCCATTGATTTTCAATATCATTTTTTATTTTACTTGCATCATATCGGTGTTTAATTTTTTCATTTTGTAGATCAGATAGATTGATCTTTATTGCCTTTGTAAAAGTAGTGAAACTTTTTTTTTTTTTTTAAATCATGATCAAGTTTATTAATCGCTTTATTTGTTACAGCTGTAGGTTTCTGATGGCGATACACTCCACTTTTTACTGCTTTATATTTAAATCTTTTACAAAACTCTTTTTAATTTTTTGTTTGCTATACATTCTTGGCAGTTAAAAAGGCAATGCAGCATTTTTGAACTTCCTAAATTATTAAAGCTTTGGAAAAAGTATGCATAACCTCTGCCTTCCAGAACAATTTTGACCTTAGTCTTCCTAAGTGCTTTAAATGGTTAACAATAATATGGTTTGTTTTTTAAATGGTTCATAATTAATATGAAATAAAGGATTATTTTCTATATAATTATTGAATTGATAATTTAATAATGTTAATATAAAAACCTTATGATTTTCATTTACAAGATGTTTGATTTTATATTTTTCAGTTAAAACTTTAAATACTGCAACTTTAGCGAAGCCGCAAGTTTAAGGATTGATAATAGACTGCTCTGTCATAATAAAAGATGAAGTTGATTGTATTACAAATCTTTTGTGAAAATAAAATGTTTTTTACTTGTTCTTTTGTTTTCATAAAAGCGTTTTTTATTCGTTCCTTTGTTTTCTGAATTTCCTTAAGAAATATAAAGTAGTAATAAACAACTTAGACAACAAGCTGCTAGTGTAGCAACTCGTTGTCTAAGTTGCATAGTTTTTGCTTATAAATTTGTTAAGCGTATAAATCCTTAGAAGTTTATTAGCCTACTATTTACGTAAGACCTACAGAACTATTGTTATGTTCTTTTGCTATAGCATAACAGTACACATTTTGTATACATTTTTTCACGTACTAATTTTGTATTTAGGGTCACTTTGAATAACGTTCAAACTTTGAATCAAAGTAACCCCACTACATAAATAGTCAGAAAACATAAAAGAACTTTGTATTTTCTTTGTCGTACATGCAGTATATATAATATTGTTATGATTAGAAATTAAAATATCTTGTGTATAAACAGTAAGCCACACATACACACATTGTTTCTGTATGTGTTTATATATAAATACATGTGTGTGTGTGTGTACATCATATATATATATATATATATATATATATATATATATATATATATATATATATATATATATATATATGTATATATATAATATATATGATGTACACACACACACACACACACACACACACACACACACACACACACACACACACACACACACACACACACACACACACATGTATTTATATATAAATTTTAAATCTTGTATAAAAAGTTATATGTATGTGTATTCAATATTGTGAGAAATTGGTTGAAAGTACTTTTTTATTCATCTTTAAAGTTGTTTTTGTTTAGAATTTCATAGCAGTACTATCCCACGTTTATACGAAAAAAAATTGATACTAGGCAGTATATAAATTAAACTAAGTGCCAGTTTTCAAATTTTATGCTAACAATACAGATTATTAGATGAAAACATTAATAGACGTTCATTGGGTAAAAGTTGCCAGTTTGTATAATAAAGTTTAAAAACTTTATCTAAAAACACATGGAAAACCCATAGTTTTTACAAATATGCAAAAACTACCTATTGTTCCGTCAATCATGTTCAGTGCCTCTGGTCAAATTGTCTCTGGTTATGTTTATAAAGCTTACCATTTATAGATAACAAGAACCAAAAGTGGATCACCTTAATGTACAATACCATTGAAGTACAATACAATCAAAGGAAGGTTTAAATGTATTCACTTTTTTGTTGTTTTTGTCAAATTGTAGGAACGTTCCTATTAGTTATAACATAAGCAATCTTTACAGTGAAAATAGTATATTGTTGTGAAGAAAACAGTATCTTGTTCTAGGGGTGATACATATCACAATAGTATTTAAAATTTAAAGATAGACTTTTAAATGAAACATAAGAGATAAAACATTAAAAGTCTAACGAGCTGTTTGTCAAATTTTGTGTTCATCACATATAAATTAATAATAGCCTTTAACGTTATTTAATTTTAGACATACGAAAAGACTGAAAATTAAAAAAAAAAAAAAATTATTTTTATTTTTTAGTTGTGCTAAAAAAATTCAGTCAAACATAGCCTTTTTACTAAAACGCAAAATTCGTGTATTTTCCAGAACGTGCATTAACTGCGTTGAGTCATTGTTTTATTTTGTTTTACAATTATTCGGTGTCAACGAGTTTCAAGTTTTAGCTTAATACTATGGGGTATTATAGTTATATAAAAGCTGAAACGTTTCTGTTTAGTAATTTATTCAGAAGACTATAAAGAGTTTATGGAAGTAAATTGCTGTGAGTGAAGACTAATGTGAAAACTTCGATTCCAACGTTTTTACAGTTTACGAAAAGATAAAGTAAGAGGTTTTTAGTCATTTACAAGGAGACTTTTTACTTTCGAATAAAAGAGGCATTATTTTTGGAACGTAAATACTTAACACATTTTTTTTAGCTGTTTTTATGACGCTACTCCGTCACGTTTTATGTATTTTAGTGGTAGTTTTGTTTTGCTTGATGCTTTGGTTAAAAAAAGATTTATAAAAAAATTAATTATATAAGAAAAGCTTAAACTCTACTTTTTAAAAATATATAAAAGTAATAGTCGAAAAAAAGCGGTAAACACGAAAAATTGAAGCTTAAAAATTCAAATTTTTGCTTTTAAGAAACGCAAATCGTTCGGATCTCTCCTTAACTATGCTGAGAAACGCAAGGCACACTAGAATTATAATTGTTTACTCTTTTTCTACAAAAAAATCCCACCCACCTTTTTATTAAGATTTCCCCCGTTTATTAGATCTGGATTTAAACTCCTATCCCCCATTTATTTTCATCCCACCTTATATAAGGCACCCGAGACAAGGTGGCCACACTTTTTTTGAGTTAAAAAATTAGAAGACTTTAGGAGATTTTAAAGGACTTTTTAGGAGATTTTACCGGGAAACCTGGAAAAACAAATTAAAAAATTAGGATTATTTAGGAGAATTTTAAACTTTTTTTTACGAAATTTAAATATTATTAAAAAATTTTAATAAAAAATTTTAAGTTGAATGTTCGAAAAACAATTTTAAATTAGGAGAATTTAGGGGTATTTTTAAAATTTAGTATATTTTAGGAGAATTTAGGTCTTTTAGATTTTTTAAATATTAGTATATTTTAGGACTTATTTGGAGGCGTGGCCACCCTGCCCAGAATACTTCAGAAGCTCATCTGAATAACAAATTCTCATAAAACCAATACGCAGAATCCTAAATGCAAAATATTGAACTCATTCTAAAATAATTGCAGTATAAAACACACTAGCAATACTACAGATGTTTTGTTACAGTACTCTTATAAAATAATTTAAATATAATACAGCCTTATAAAAAACTAATTAACTATAATTAAATAGTTATATAAAATATTAATACAACTATATTAAATATAATTAATTCACTAACCAATAATAATAATAACAATAATAAAAAAAAAACAATGCGGAAACTCCTTCTCTCTCTTTCTCTCTATATATATATATATCTACAACGCCATACAGGTACTATGTTTACCATTGTCAGCATTTATTCCTACATCTCTAATTACCAATTCTCCCTATTACCTATTCCATAATCTGCCTTATCTAAAATGCCTCCTATTGTAAAATGCTTAACAAAAAATATAAGATCATTTATAAAGATTCATAGTTATCATACATATTTACAAATTCATTACTAACCATAAATATTGTTCACTATATAAATATAAATACAAAATAAAATTATACCCTCCAACCGATAAATTTTTGAGTCAAAGCAAAAGTGACACCGTCTGTTTCTGTATTATCAGATTGTTCAGAAGATTCAGGGTTATCAGACTGCTCTGAAGATTCAGAATTATCAAATTGCTCTGAAGATTCAGAATTATCAGAAAGCTCAGAAGATTCAGAATTACTATCCTTGTAACTTTCTACACTTGAACACGATAATTCTAAGCTTGAATCTGCTTTATTTTTAATAAGTTCTTCTTTGACTGCCGTATTATTCTTTAAACTACTGTCTCTTACTTGCTGTCTTTTAATAGATCTAAAAGTATTGCTCCATTTTAAAAAAGTCGATGAAAACATATTTCTCAATCTTGTTCTAGTGTTTATTACTTGCAATGCGCCATCAAATGCTTGATCAAAAGTTTTATGTAACTTCGAAATATTTTTTTTTTTCCTTTTGCTTCGTCTTTTTAATGATCTGCGAACAATATCAGAACAAGTATGTGGTTCTGGATTCACTATGCAGATAGCTGTAATAGTTTTCAGATGACACTAAATGAAATAAAATAGTAAGCATAATAAATATATATATATATATATATATATATATATATATATATATATATATATATATATATATATATATATATATATATATATATACATATTAGGGCCCTGCGACTCAGCATTTTTAGTGTCAAATCGAAGCAGGTCTTGACTCGCGAATTGAATCAATAATATGAATCCAAGTTTAAGCATCTTTTTTCCAAAAAAAAAAACAAAAAAACTTTACTTAAAATTTAGAAAGAGAAGCAATTAAACGACAATATGACAATGGTTGAAGGTTGACTATGCATATTTTAATTAACTGTACCTTGTCTAAATGAGAAAGGCCATCATTCAAATATCAGTTCCAGATATGGCAACAGTATTCCATACAAGGACGAATTTGAGATTTATAGAGATAAAGAATAGATTCGGGAGTAAGAAAATGGCGAGCGCGATAAAGAAATGCAACCTTGGCAGATGCTAATTTTGCAATGTTTTTGATAAATGGTGAACAAGAAAGATCAAAAGTAAAAGTTTATTTTAAAAGACGAAGGATAGATAACTAACCGAGTACATTACCATTTAATAATATAGAAAGATTTAGATTATTGAGATAACAATTAGCTGAAGAAAAAAATTGAGTTTTATATATATTTTATATATACTAGCTGAGATCGGACCTGAAAAAATACGGGTCTTCGTAAGTCTATTCCAAACCAAACTTTTCTATACTCTTTCCTTATATGTCCTAGCTTTCTGGATCCGTAAAATACGGGTCTTTACCAAACCTACCATTTCTATACATTGCTATTCCGCACCGATTATTTATGTACCCATTCCTAATTTACTTCAATATTATTTAGTAAAATAATTTATTCTGAAAAAAACTTTAAGAGCAAAAAACTTAACATGCGCACTTTTTCTGCATACGTAGAGCTTATAACATTTATAACTAAGTTTGTTTTTCTGCTAAATGCATTTCATTGATAGCTTAGCGGTTAAGTATGCTATCATCAGTGTTGTTTTGGGGGGTTTAAGACTTACCCTTAGCGCAATAAATTTTGAAATTTCTTCAATCTTGCTTATATATTTATAGTAACAGTATAGCAAAAAAAATTTCTCAAATTCAAAATAAAATTTTAAAGTTTTCTCATTTTATATATATATTATACGCGATTATTCCATATAATGCCAACAAACTTAACATATGCCAAAGGCGTTTACACTTACAGATGTTTGTTCGTAACGCTATACAAATGGAACAAACAAGATCTTAGACCAGTAAAACATAGTCATAAAAAAGAACAATAGCCTCAGCCAGGGGCGTGTCTAGGGGATGTCTACTACATCGTTGGACGTACCCAAAAAAATTAAATACAAGTTTTTCAACTTGATTATTTTGTTGAAAAAAGTCTTACTATAAGTAATTATTAAAACCAAACTACAGCTCAAGCTTAACAAATTATGCACGGTTAATTATCTTAAACGGTTGGAAAAAAGTTAAAAACCGGAAAACATAATTGTATATCGGTTTCATAATTTTGCGATTGTTAAAAAATAATAATTACAATATTTTGATGATTAAACTAACTTTTGAGTTAAATAACTTAATTAGAAACTTGAATTGACATACCTTATTTTATTTTGTTATATAGAACTTTATTTTTTAAATTTTTTCTTTCATTGGTTTAAAAAAAATCAAAATGATTATTTTAGTTAGAACAAACTATGGACTTCCCTTTTGACATACACCCTGAGTTCTATTGTATAACTATCACCAGGAGGTAAAATTAGTTAAAAACAACAAGTATATATTAAAATATATCAATGGACATCCCCAGTTTTATTACAGTAGACTGAATTATTTTAATAACTTGCATTTTAAGCAATAAATAAGGAGAGAAAAAGTTTCAAATATGGAAAATAAAATTCGGACTTCACTTTTGCCATACACCCTGCCTAACTTGAGTTTTATTAAAATAATTTATTTTATTAGACATAACGTGGTTGCAAAATGTCGCTTAATTCACGAGTTTATATAGCATTATATAGTATGTTAAAGAAAAGCACCATTTCCTTTTAAGTTAGGCGACCAAATATTATATTGTGTAGAATTTTTGATATCACGATATCCTTTGAATATAAGAAAGGAAGACAGAGTTTTACTACAAGTAGAAGCTATTTATAGTTGCATCGATAAAAACTAGTACTTGTTTCTTGGTTTTCTTTGATAATCAAAAAGAAGACGTATTACTTCTAAATATACTTCAAATTTTAGACGTATATTTAGAAGTATTTTAGACGTATATTTAGAAGTATAAATTTTAATTAGCCATATTGTTTATCCTTTATGAGAATCATGATAATTGTAGCAGGAACTATGATGAACCACATAAACTTTATATAATTCATTAGATTCTCATAAAATACTAAATAAACAAGTTTTTCCTTTATGATAAAAGAAAAACTTGTTTATTTAGTATTTTGATAAAAACTATTACTGATTTTTCTTTGAATGTTATGGAATGTGAAATTGTGGCATAATTTTACAAAAGTTTTTTATATCTGTGGTTTTCTGTCTCAAAGAATGTCATTAATGATGCAGCCTCTGCTACTGCTTCTTCTACTGAAGTTAATAACAAATTTTGATTTTAATTCACTGTGTATAACTAGACATGTTTTTAATATAACTTTTTTAATTACACGATTGTGCAAGCAAGTAATAATGATATTTTTTATAGTTTAAATCTTATTCAAGCATTAAAAGAACTTCTCTAGTTAGAAATATTATTAATCAACACCTCCAAATATGCTTTAAACAAACCTAAAAATTGCATTTTAAATTATTTTAACTTGGTTATCACTGTTTCTTTGATAGAATATCTGATTACTGAGTTTAACACAATGTTTGATTGATTGATACAATTTTGAAGTGTTATAAAGCACCTATGTTTTAATTTCTTCTTTCTAATATTCAGTTTCTTCTAAAAACAATTGCAGAAATTCAATGTTTTGTTATACTAGTTGAGAAGATCAAATCATGTTTTGATGTCTTTTGTTTAACCAAAGGCTTTATTAGGTTTATTTATTATTTCTAAACCAAAGGCTTTATTACTTGAATTTGACCTGTGGAAGTTTAGTTGAACTTCACTTAACTGCCTGAATTTCAAAAATGAACATTAATCTAATAATACTGAAACATTACAAGCTTTTTCTTTACTGAGGTGCCTAAAAGGTTATAAGAGAATAGTAAGGAGATGTTGCAAAGCAAAATAGTAGATAAAGTCTAGTTTAGCTAATCTATAGATAGTAAAAAAGTTTTTAACAAGTTTGTTAAAAATACTTGAGTTGTGTTTTAAGTAAAATTCAAATATGATAAAAGTATAACTTGTCTAAGTTGTAATGTAATGTCTAAGCTGCTTTTTGTTAAACAGCTATTTTCATAGCCAGACATCTTTGTAAAAACATTTAGCATTGTACAGTTATTGCAATAAGTTTTTTGACTCTAAATATTTATTAAGTTTATTTATAATTAAAAGTTCTTTATAAAGTTATATTAAAAAATTTACACAGCAAAATCTTGGAAATTTTTTTCACAAATTTTGTAAAAAATTTTAACACCTCCCCTCCCTTAAAAAAATAGGGAGGCGGAGGATGACAAACTGGTACAGATATCATTTCGCACATTTCACAGATATCATTTCACGGATAAGAGTTTATATTTATTACAATAGTAATAAACAAATAGTTTTTGTCTTTATTAGAATATTCCCATAAAAATATTCCATATCTTTAATAGAAGGAATTTTCCAGAAAAATTCTAATAAAATCTTATTTCTAGTTGTTCTTTTTGCCAGGAAGTGACATCACATAAGCAAAAAAATTGTGGCTTCAACGATTTACGAAAAATACTGTCTATTATTTTAAATGGTCTAAGAAGCAGATTTTAGCAATCAAGAGAGGGGCAAATCTAAAATTGAAGTTTCAAATTTTCCACTTGGATGAGACAACATGTTTCGTGTTTTTTCAATCTTGTCAATTTTTTAAATATAATAACATACATACAAAAAATCAAAACAAAACAGCATGAGCAAAAAAAACATAATTATTAGAAAAGTTTACATACATTGCATACGATCCTGAATAAAACACTATATAAGTGGATTTTTTACATTTTATAAACAATACATATAAACAAATAGCATATTTGTTTATATTTATTATTTAGGTAGGGATGGTTAAGCGCCAAACCTGCCTATACAATAAAGTTAAAAAAATAAATAGTTTATATTAAAAAATGATTTATATGTTTCTTTGTAAACACCAATATACTGTACTTAAAATCTTTAAGTTTTACTGAGCTAAATTTAATTAATGAACTTTAATACGCGGTTGTTTTTTTTCACTGAACTGCAATTACTTTTAATTTTTTTCATTTAGTGGCTTTTTTGTTCAGAAGCTTTTTTGTTCAGAAGCTTTGCGCTATATCCACTTGGCCACGATGGCACATTGATAAACGAAAAATTTTAAAACTATATATTAATTTTTTTAACAGAAATAAATGCTATAGATCAAAATTGAGCAGATGTTGCAGCAATGCAATTTTCAAGTGAAGGTCAAACTGTAAAACTTGTTTTAATGTTTTAACATTACATAATTTCAAGTTTACATAAGTAAGATATTTGCATACACTTTTGTTCACATTTTCTTTTAATAAAAGTACTGCGACTCTCGCCACTACCTCAGTGCAATGACTGCCAAGGGTTTCGTGTTAAACACGCTCGAAGGGGCACTACTACTAACACAATTAAGTTCAGCAATAATATATAGAGATATATAGAGATAAGTAAAAGTTCACCAGCCACTGAGAGTCCCATGCTGTAGCAGAAGTGTGATCCTTTTCAAGCTCAAATGTCCCTTCCAAGCAATAAGAGTGCTGGCTTTTCACTAGATTCAAGATGAAAGATTGGGCATTTGTTAATTAAAGACTCAAAAGCCTTGCT